AAGAAATACAATCGATCAACAAATATATGAAAAAATATTCACCATCTCTAGCATTTAGAGAAATGCAAATCAAAACTACCCTAAGATTTCATCTCACTTTTGTCAGAATGGAAATCATCAAGAGTACAGGCAACAATAAATGTTGGTGAGGATGTGGTGAAAAAGTTACACTCATACATTACTGGTGGGACTGCAAATTGGTGCAACCATTATGAAAAACAGTATGGACATTCCTCAGAAATTTGAGAATGGAACCATCTTTGACCCAGCTACAAAACCAAAGGCTGTTGTCTAATATGCAAATGCTAATTCACAATTAGGCAGGAGGCACTAGGGTAGAATAGCGTTACGTTAGATAGGTAGAGGGAAGTGATGGGAGGGGAGGAGAGGGGATGTGGGAATATGAAAGATAGTAGAATGAAACAGAACTTGTTACTCTATGTATATATGTGACTACATGACCAATATGATTCTGCAACTTGTACACTCAGAAAAATGAGAAATTGTATCCCATCTATGTATATCAAAGTGCATAAATGCATTCTATTGTCATGTATAACTAATGAAAACAAATTAAAAAATTAAGGTAATCTTGCTAATTTCTGTTAAAGATGGAGAAATAAAGCTGAACCCTTAGGTACTTGAAAGATAGTTCTTAAAATATACATGCAATCAAGAATGGCTAAATTATATAGAGTCGGGGAACAGTTTAAATTCTGATAACCTTATTCCATATTTTCAAACAGTGTATCATCACATTGAATCATACTGACAGGAGCAGCTTCCGCCAAGCAGCAAGTCATGTTTGTCAATTACATACAAGACTGAGGTCTGGGAGCTTCACACTGATTATCTCATTGTTATGTCTCTACACGATACACAAGTAAACTAAGACTAATTAAGTTGACTATTGTCCTAGTAAGTAGAGGGCTATGGTTTAAAAACAGAGAGTATGACTATTCCATTCACTCATTTAACAAATATTTAGTGAGAGTCTACCATGTTCTAAGCACTGGGGTAGCAAATTACAGAGAATAGAAGAAGGGACATTCTTACTAGTGTGAGCCTCTGTTCCAATGGGAGAAAATGGACAAAGCCAGGAAGATATATAATATATAATAAATATATTCCGGGAAGAGTAATAAGAGCTGTGAAGGAAAATAAAGCAAAGAGGATAGGGAGTAAGAAGTGGTTAGAAAGATCTGAATAACATGGTGACATTTTAATACAAAGGAGGTGATTACGGAAGTTTGAGCAACAGAAAGATCAAGGGGAAAAGCCCTGTGGCAGGGGCACACCTGATGGTTCAAGTATCAGGACAGAGGACTCTGTGGCTGGGGCCAAGAGCATAGACAAGGGGGATAGCAGTAGAGACCAGGCCTGGAAGGCCAGAGGATATGATGCTTCCAAGACCACATGAGGATTTACCAAAAGATCCTGCAGGAAGCCATATTGATTACAGGCTTCAAGAGTTAGAGCACAAGTCTGGACCATTAAAAAGCTCTTCTAAGACTCGGGGGAATGATGCTGGCTTAGACCAGGGCTGTGCTTGAGAGGAGATCAGATTTGGAAAATATTTTAAGGTAGAGTGGATGGGATTTTCCTTAACAGCTTATATTCTGAAACATTATGGCACTCAAAACATCTCTTTGCATTTATAATTAAAATCTAAATAAAGACGTTCTCTTTTTCTGTAAGATGAATCAAGGCACACTGTATCTGCTGGAGGACCCCTCTGCCTGATGGGGAGCCTCAGTCTGGGCAGACCCTAGTGGTGGGAAGTGTACCAGACTTAGGTCAGGATGCGGTTTAGCACTGAATGTTGCATTTCAGAAAACCCCCAAGTTTTGAGGAATCTGGGACCCTTGACCATCTTACTCAGACATGTGGCTCACGTTTAATCACCATCACTCTCCACTCTTGAGCTTAATACACATCATTCAATGCCTCAGAGCCTCAGTTTCCTCATCTCTAAATGGGTATGATAATCTATTTGCTGGGCTGTTCTGACACTGTCAAGGTACTAGTCATAGACTTGCTTTATAAACTGTGAAACAGCACTCTGGGGCTTACAGTCCTTGGGCCCTGGCCTCCTGGGATCACCCTTCTTCCTGGGTGCTGGAAGATGAGGAGGAGGAGGAGGAGAGGAGAAGGAGGATGGGCCATGCCACCAATGGCAGGGGCCTGGCCTTTACAGCATACCCCTTCATGTCCAGAACTGTCAAGGCTCTGGCACTGTGAGAAGACCCGCCCCCAAGGTGAGGAGTTTTGAGCATTCTGAGGAGGAAGAGACTTGGGTGGGGCTGGCTCTGGGACATGAGAGGGCTCTAGACTAGGGAGGAAGTGGGAGGCAGCACTGTCTTCTTTATTAGCTGTGATGCTTAAGGCCCACAAGACTTTCTGTAGCACACAAAAGAGTTTTCAAAGTTTCTAAAATTATATGGAGAAAAAAGGAATATAATCCATTGTGTTACCAGTGCAGTCATAAAACATAATTTATTCTAATTGGTTTATTTATTCTTTCTTGTGGGTGAGGAGGCCCTCCAAAGCAAAAGGGCCTAAAGCCCAGGAAAACCGCCATGCAGGCCTGGAGGGAGACAGTGAAGCAGTGCTTAGACAACAGCATCTACACCATTTGTGGCTGAATTCTCTCAGCTAATTCAGTTTATTTATTTGAATTTGCTTGGTATGGGACTTTCCCTCCATTAATCCAGAGACATTTCCCTTGGATAAGAGCCACTTCATTTCAAGCAATGAGAAAGGAGTTGTGGCTTGGTTGACTACATGCTTATCATCATCATTATTGTCCTCTATCTTTTTATTTTTATACAGTCTCATTCCACACAGCCTGACCAGGACCACTCCTACTTCTTGCCATGGGTTGTGATAAGTAAACATTTTATCTTACAGAATTTAAACTCCCAGTTTGAGAATTAACATAGTACATCTATATGTGTGTGATGGTTAGTGGGTTGGGTAATTTTGTTTACCCTAATATGTTTACTAAGAAGTTTTTGGAAAATTACCTGAAATTGAACTAATATGACTGCTATAATTTGGATCTGAAGTGCCCTGAAAGACCCATATGCTAATGGCTTGGTCAATAGCCTGTGGCACTACTGGGAAGTGGTAGCACCTTTAGGAGGTGGGGCCTAGTGGAAGGAAGTTAGGTCATTGGGGGCATGCCCTTTGGGAAACAGGGATCTCAGTTCTTTTTTCTCTCTTTGCTTTCCAGTGCCAGGAGCTCTACTGCCACATGCTCCTGTGATCACATACTGTACTCCCACAGGCCCAAAGGCAGAGAGGTCAGTCATCCATGAACTGAAACTTAGAAATCATGAAGCAAAATAAACCTTTCCTCCTTTATTTATCTCAGGTATTTTGCCAAAGAAACCCATCTAAGAAACTCAGCTTCGGAGTTGCCTCTTTCTCTGAGAACTTCAGTCCACCTCAGAACCTGCCGCTGATTTGACTTCTCTGCTCCTGGCAGAACTTGAAGCCAGACATGGCATTTCGATCCTTCTCTGACTTCTCTCACTTTCCATGACTCCAGTGTTTCTGTTTCACCACTTCTGACATTTTGGGGCAGACCATTCTTTGTTGTAAGAGATGGTCCTTGCACTATAAGATATTTGGCAGCATCTCTGGTCTCTAGCCACTAGATGCTATTAGCACTACGTGCCCCCGGATAATCATAATCAGAAATGTCCCCAGACATTGTCAAAAGTTCCCTTGAGGAGTTGGTGGGAGGGAGAATCAAAACTGTCCCCAGTTAGCCACTGTTCTAACTCATGGGGATCCCAAGACTCTGAGAATACCAGAGTGGTCACCACTGGACATGATTTTCAAAGAAATCTTAGACCCATATGACTCAAGTTGATGCTCTCAACCCTTATTATGTGTTAGAATCACTTGGGATATTGGCACAGAACCAAAGGGACAAACTTCCCAGGATATTTGATTTGTAGATAGGATAGACAACCTCTGAACCAGTATGTTTGTCAGTTTTAATACTTGCATAAATAAAAAGAGAAACCCAACAACCACCCAATCATTTTATTTTAAATTGGGAATATCCAGGTAGCTTCAGAGCAAGAAAAAAATTTTTTTCACATGTCCATGGGTTGTAGAACACAGGCCATCAGAGACATTTTCCATTTGCCTTCTGTTGTTGTGCTAGCATCACCAAGTAGTTGGGAAGCTGGATGCCTCTGGAATTCTGGGCTTTTGACATTTGGACTGAAGGTGCATTCCAGTTCTCTTAGTGTTGTAACTCACAGAGACGCTGTGGTTGAAAGTACCATCAGTTAGGGTACTTCACAGGGAAGAGGTGGAGGAAGACAAAATTCCCTGAATGCCATGTGTGGGGCTGGCAGGGAAGGAAGAGCAAGACTTAGGGGGTTTATGAAGGGAGGCCTTCTGATAATGCTTTTAGCAGATGAAAGCTGTTCAGACTGCTACCTCTTTCCTTCACTTGTGCATCAGCAACACTGGGAACAAAACCAGACAAAGTGGGATCTTAAGATCTCATGCCCTAAGATTCAGGAGCAGTTTAGCCATAAGATACATATATTCTGAAAGCTGCGGATCCCATTTCTGCCCAGTCAGGAAAGATTGGCAAGGATTCTCAACCAGTCATCCATCTTCTGAAAGGTGAGGAGATACATTAGACAATGTTCACCTTTCACAAAATCTTGGACAACTCAGTCAACTTCCCTGAGATTTTCTCTATCTGAAAAGTGGGCATCATGGTATCTACCTCAGGCAGTCATTATTAGAATAAAACTAGATCATGTGTATGAAAACGTTTTGTGAACTGTAAAGCCCAACGAGGCAAGGTTATCTTTCCAGGGGCTTTCCACCTTGAACAGTCTGCTGGACCAGGAGCAGTGTGCTTTCTCAGGATTGGCTTCTGGAGCATGTGCGGTGTAATAGATGTGTGCAGCCGTTGACTTAACTTGCCAAGCGTCTGTCCTCAAGTGGGCAATTAGGGAAATACATTTGCACTAAAAATGTAGAGCGATGTATTTTTCATGACTAAGCTTAGAATTGTATTTTAGGCTATTATACAGAAAAGACCAGGAAATTAATTGGTGCCCTCTAAAACGCAGAAGAGCAAGAGATTAATCTGATAAATGGTTTCCATTAAAAAAATTCCATTTGGTTTCCCAAATTTATCTTGTCTCCTGAGGTTTCTAAATGCCACAATGCCCTTCCCCTGTGCTTACTATGGGATTCTACTGCTTCTAACATCCCTAGATTTGGAGAATATTAGTATTTATGCAAAGATAGTAGTACAACTTAACTAGAAAACTAAGCCTTTAACTCTCTAGTTCATGCATATTAACTGAAACCACTTTTGTCTTTCAGTGTACGTTTTGGTTGATACTCAGAATGTAATATTTGTAGATACTGAAGGTGAGGCTTTTGGTGACGCCATTTCATACAAGTAACGCAGCTGAAACCATCCAAGTCAGTCCATTGTCAAGGTTCCGAGTTATTAGTGTTCACCTCGTAATAAGGAGTCCCCTCAAGGACACAGTAAACAGGCAGAGAGAAGACTGTTTCAGGTGGAAGTCAGTGCTATTCTGGGGAGCGGGGTGACTGGTAGAGAAGAAATCAGTGTTTCCAAACCTTCACTCAGATGTCTTTGCGATCATATGGCTAGCAGAGAAAATTGGGTGGATTTCACCCCAGTTTTAAAAAACCACACACACTTGGATGCCATTTTTCCTAAAGAACACACCAAACCAACTGCAAATCCGGAACCAAGCATGCTGTTACATTATAACACTAAGTTCATATTTCTCTTGTTTGTCCTCAGATTTTTTTGCCTTGAAGTCTGGGTCAGGATCTGGGTGGTGGATTTCAATGAGAAGAAAGTAGAGGAGACCTCCAATGACAGAACCAATCAGAGGGCCCACTACAGGAATCCACCAGAAGTTATTTCCAGCTCTGAAATCAAACAAGAAATGAGTGACATATTCTCAGCCTTCCTCTGATATTACCACCTAGTTATTCTCTAATCAGCTAGTGTTTCTCTTGCTCACAGATCTCTTTTAACTCAGCAAAAGTTCTTAAGAGTATTCACTGAGCTGGGGCTGGGGCTCAGCAGTAGCGTACTTGCCTGGCATGTGTGAGGCACTGGGTTTGATTCTCAGTACTGCATATAAATACATAAAATAAAGGTCTATCTATAACTAAAATAAGATAAAGAGTATTCAGTGTAGCATGGAAACCATCATCCTATATTTCCCAGTATACCTGATTTTAGGCCATCTGGGAAAGTTCAGGTCAATTATTCAAGAATTTCCTTTCCCTGACCCTGGAATAATTAAGTCTGGGAATTATGAATGGAAAGGGAATGCTCAGAATGTGGAGATTCCTGGGTAGCACTAGTCCATGACAGCAATCAAAATAAATAATAAATGAATGAATATTTCAGAAGTCTAAGGTAGGGTATGGTCATGCATGCCTGAAACCTTAGCTACTCAGGAGGCTGAGGCAGGAAGATTACAAGTTTGAGGCCAGTCTCAGCAATTTAGGAAGACACTCTTTTTCAAAAAACAACAATAAAATGAAAAGGGTTGGGATATAACTCAGTAGTAAAGTGTCCCTGGGATCAATTCCCAGAACCAAAAAATAATTTAAAGCCTATTTGTGAATTACCTATTGAATACAATTTAAATCAGTGCTATTTTTTAATATTATAGTTCAGAGGTATGCTTTGACAGGTTTTTGTGTCATTACTCTCCTTTCCATCTAGAAATCCTCAGTATGCCTTGTGAAGTATGTACTTAGTAAAGGATGGGGAAAAGGTGGCCTTGAGAATTGTCATTACCTTTTTTGGAGAGAGAAAATCCATTTAAATGACTCCATAGAAAAGACCAAAAATGCTCAGAAGAAAAAAAAATAGTGGTATACTGTTAAGGACATATACATTTAAGATAAGACCATTCATTGTTTTCAAGCAAGAAAAATGATAAATATAAAAAATCAGAATAATGCCATGGAAGTGGCCAGGGAGCCAAAGGAGATTTCACCATGTTCTGGGTGGATCCCAACATCCTGATTTGAAATAATGGAGAGAATTTTGAATCTAAGATTAATAATTCCTATTTCCTAAATTTGGAGCTAAGAGGATTCATGGCTTTTCTTTTCATTTTTATATGATGCCCCATATGACTTTTTGTTATAGCAAACCTTGATTAGAAAAAAATTAAGGAAATAAGTAGAAAACATGAGTCCCATCCTAGACTCCAGATCTCATTCTAACCTCAGGACAGTCCAGAAAATCTTTGGGCAAGTCACTCCTCTGTCAACTCTGACGCCTTCATCTGCACACTCCCTTCCACCTGAAGCATCCAGGTACAGTCAAACATCTTAATCACCAATGCAGGCTTGGGAAGAGCACGAAGACTGAGTAGGGCAGCCACCAGATGTCACTCTTGCTGCGTGGGAGAGAGGATGCTGCCCTGCCCACTCTCAAGACGCCCTTTCCCACGCTCTCAAATCTGGATAGATTTTTGTATGAGAGGTGTGGGGGGGTGGTTGCTTCTCCCATTTGGCTTTAAAGAAGTGGAAGCCTTCTCTGGAGGTCAGCATGTGAAGGGAGAGTAAGCTGCATGAGTTGGTGCATCATTTCCTATGTAGTGAATCTTTCCCTTTCATTTAGCAGACTAAGATCCAGGTATCTGCCAGGGTACAAATCCTATCACTCGCTGGACTCTCTTCCTTCTCTCAGGCTGGACACATTGTGCCAGGGGTACAAATCATAAATGGATGAGCTCAGATGTGATTTCTTTACCAGCCCTGTCTTATATACACTCAGGGAAGAGATTATTTGTACACTATGATTTGGTGGCTGCCAGGAACATGTCTGTGTTAACTGACTAAAGGAGCAACTTTAGAGACTCATTGCTTTTGGTAAAACTGTTTTTAAAAATTAATAACAGTCAACAGATCCTTCACCCATTAAGTCATTAACATCCTGATTTGAAATAATGGAGTGAACTTTGATGGAAAACATTCCTAAGGTTAGAGTAGGAGTCAGCCAGGTTCTGCTGGCTCTTGCCCTTGTCTGTTCCTCTGGCTCCCACTCCCCTGCCTGTCCTCCACTGCTTGCCATGCAGGACAATTGAGAACCTGAGAGCCTGAGCACAAGGCAGTCCTGCCTGTATCTGAGACCATGGAGGTAGACCAGGCTAGAATATCTACTAGGGTGCTTACCTGATAGAGGACCCTGAAAGGATGGGACATGTTGGGGGACATGTGGGAAGCCTGTAGTCCCTCAAAGTTTTGGGGGAAATTTTTTGGTTGAAGATCATCAGCCATTCCAGCTATTTCCTAACAGATTTCTACTCCTGTAGTCTCCGTTTTCAACTCATACAGTAATGCCAGGTTAATTTTGCTAAACTGACATTCTAAGCATATCAAGCATCTACCTTAAATACTTTGCTGCTCCCTATAACCTACAGAATAGAAAAATTCAAAATTATTATTCAGGGAGTCCATATCCTCTATGATCTTATGATTTCCAACCTTTTTATGTACCCTTTTTATGCATCCTTCCTTCTATTCCAGGTTGCTTGTTATTTTAACATGCTGTGGTTAAATACAGGGTCCTTTCCACCTGAGATATCCTCTTTGTTGCTTGTATAAATGTGCTCAAGTAGTGCAAAATGCTCCCACTTCCCCACCCCCATAATTCCTAAATTTGGAGTTATAAACCACCTCTCAACTCCTGGAATCAATCAGTCAGATCTCCTTAATGGCACTTGACAGCTTAACCTTGTATAAGAGCCTTACGTTATAACCTCTTACATAGAATATAAATAAATTGGTGAAGGACAGCGACTGGGTCTTATCATCTTAGCACAGGGCCTTGTAAGAGATCAGGTAGCTGAGCAAATGAATAAACAATGCACATGGGTTAAAGATGCCGATGCTAACGAGAAACACAGGGCTCAGGGTCTCCCACAGACCTGGGTTCTCCCAATGTACTTAACAAGGCAAAGTGAGACTGGGAAAGATCTCTGTTTTGAAACAATCATGATTCTTAGTACTTTGAATGAATCACTAAGGAGGGCTGAAAAGGGAAGGAGAGGTATGTGGTCTCTGGGATTAAGGTTCTGAAAGTGGGGTTAAAAAAAACTCATGAACAAATTCTGGGCTCTGGAAACCTTTAGGACACATGCTTGTTTGCTCCATTGGAAGAGCAAACAAGAAATCCTTCCTAGTTGGGGATGTTTTCATGTTCTAGAACAGACTTTCTCAATCACAACACTATTAACATTGTGAGCTGAATAATTCTTTGTTGTGGGGTCTGTCCCATGTATTGTAGGATGCTTAGCAACATCCCTGGCCTTTAGCCACCAGTTATATGTGCCTATCCCACTCTCCACCCCCAGGTGTGACAACTAAAAATATCTCCAGTCATTGTCAAATGTTCCTGGGGTAAAACTACCTACCTCAAGTTGAAAACTATTGTTCTAGAAAATTCATTGCATTGTAAATTTCTTGAGGATAGGGGATAGTGCTCGATTCTCTTCATATCTTTCAACCCCTAAAAGACCTATGGTACACAGCACTTACTCATCCAGGCACTGTGGATATAGCAGGAAGAGAGCTGATAAAATCTCCAGGATATTTATACTCTGAAAGCTCTTAACAGTATCTGTGGTAGTGATCTGAATAGGATCAGTTGTTTTACAGCTTGTTTTTCACACCTGTGAAAGGCAACTCAAACTCTCATTTAAATAAAGTTATGTCTAGCATCTGACTGGATGTACAGGTCAGCATTTAGAAACACTCAAGTCCTTTGTCCCCACAGTAAACATTACAGTAGGATTTGCTCACACATGTTTTATCTACTCCCCTCACTCCTTGTTAGAGCCCTGTTTCCTGGTGAGTCAAAGTGAGTTCCTTGCCCATACACAGCTGTCATAGTGGAAGGGATGGGCCTCTGTGACTTCATGAGGAGAGTGTGGGAAGGAGTTCATGGGCAAAGTTTGTCCTAGGAGACTGGCACGTTCTGGTACATTCTGAAGCAGAAAGCATGGGGTCTTGCTGTGTCTGGGGCACAGACTCTATAAGTCCATTCTGTCAGGAATTTCTTATTCTTGTTTTAAGACCCAACTCAGCCCTTGCTTCATGGGTCATGTTTTTCCCTACGTCTTTGGAAGAGTTGATGGCTCCCTTCTCTGTGTTCCCTCTGCATTTTCAGGGAGTGCCAAAGCATTGACATTGTTCAGGGCAAGTGCCCCACTGATTTCAAAATTTCCTTGCCTAGTACAATAACTGCAGCATAGACAGGGTCCAAAAGGATCTGCTGAATGAATGACTCACAAGAAGGAGCCCATTGGTAGCATGAGAAGATGTAAAATCTAGTCTCAACTTCGCTACAAAGTTATATGGACAAGTTATACTACAAAAACGTTCACATAAAGCTATAGACAAATTTAGGGAATATTATTATTATATGGGACAGGCCTATCTGTATTGAATTTACCTAGACCCTGCCTCTCTCTCTGCCTACCTCCCCCTCTCTCTTTCACATACGTACAGACACAAGGCCACAAGACACCAGTGCAGTGCCCCTGTTTATGACCGGAGCATGTACTTCACCTCTGCTCTCTGATCTGCACACCTCCGGATTTCCACGTCACAGCCTAGCCCTCCCCATGAGGCACTGCACTCATCCTTTTCTCTCTTCCCCAACCTTGTTACTTACGTGAAGACCTCAAACCCCCATCCTGCCAAAGCAGTGAAAAGTCTGGGACTCAGGTCTCGAGCTGGATTCATGGCACAGCCACTGTTCAGTCCCAAAGAAGAAGAAATGACAATGATCAGGAGTCCAATGACAATGGGCTCTAGGCCTTTAGGAACCCCGAAGTTTCTGGAGTCAAAAATGGCGAAGACAATCAAGAGGAGGAACATGGTGGCCACCACCTGGAGAGGGAGAAAATACGCAGGAGTTTTAACCTGTATTTTGCACACTGGTTCACTCCTTCTCACCAAAAATAAACTAAGTAATAAGTAACACACACTGGGTGAGCAAATGGGTTTTCTTTCCACAGCAATCTTAAATGTAGATGGCAATATAATTATTCTTTATAGAGGAGTTACCTGCGCCAGAGCGCACACTTGGTAAGCAGCCGCAGGTTTGGACCCAGAGTGTCCAGCCCTAGAGAGTTAGCTACACTATCCTGGTAATCTGTCAGCTGAAAGGAAAAGCCAGCTACAGTCTGGAAAAAAAAGAGTGAAGAGGTTGTTCAAACTGGTGAGAAAAACAGTGCAAAGCAGCAATAGGTGAATGGGCAAAGAAAACGGACAGAAAAAATCATGAAATAAAAATTGAATTAGGCAACAAATGGGAAAATATGATTTGTAATAAAAGAAACGCAGACATAGCAAATGTTTATGAAAGAAGACTGGTTCTTTCAGGGTTTTCTAGTGGAACTAAACACACATGATGCTTTTGAAAGGGAATTTAGCAATAACTTAACAACATTCATTTTAAAACTATAAATTTATTCATATGATTTAATGTTATTGAATATTTGAGAATTATACCATAGAAATAATCTAAAACATGGAAAAGTTATAGAACACATATTTACTTAAGCATTATTTATAGTATTAAAAACTGTAAGCCACCTAAGAACATATCTCTAAGGAAAGAGCTAACTCCACTTCATGGTCTACTATAAAAGTCACTAAAAACTGTAAACATGAACACTATGTAGTCACTCTTAAAATGCTTATGACATTAAGTGAAAAAATAGAATTATATGTATTATTTTATATTTAAAAGCCCACCTAAAAGAATAACCATAAGAGACCATACAAAATAACAACAGATATTCTGCAGTTGTAGGTTATAGCTGGTGTTTCATCTTCTCTGTTTTCTAAACCTTCTAAACTATTATTTTGCTTTAACATCAAACCCATATATATTACTTACTGAACATTAATATGCTTTATATGAAGAACAGCTGGCACATTTTGAAATGAATGGCACATGTACTTTACCCATGGTACTTCACAGCTTTACTTATTAAAACTTCTTCATAACACTGTAAGATAATTCTATTATTATTCCCAGTTTATAGATGAGAAAACTTGGGTAGAAAGAGCTTAAGACACATGCTCAAGGGAACGAAGCTGCAAAAAAACAAAGAATCAGAATGGGAAACCAGTAACTGATTTTAGAGTTTCAATTCTTCGCCATTTTTATAGTTTGGATGTGAAGTGTTCTCCAAAAGCTCACATGTGAGGCAATGTAAGAAGGTTCAGAGGAGAAATGATTGGGTTGTGAGAGTCTTAAGCCAATCAGTGAATTAATCCCATGATAGGGATTAACTGAGTGGTAATTGACATGGCAGGGTGTGGCTGGAGGAGGTGGGCACTGGGGGCATGGCTTTGGAGTACATATTTGTATCTGGCAAGTGGAGAACTCTCTTTCTGATTTCTGATCACCATGTTAGCTGCTTCCTTCTGTCACACTCTTCCGCCATGATGTCTTGCCTCACCTTGAGCCCCAAGGAATGGAACTGGCCTTCTATGGACTAAGACCTCTGAAACCATGAGCCCTCAAATAAACTTTTCTTCCTAAAATTGTTCTGGTCAGATCCTTTAGTCACAACAGCAAAAAAGCTGACTAAAACAACTATTTAATCAGCTTTCCAAAATAATAATATTAAAATAATTTATATTCACAGAGATACGTCTCCTAAGAGTAGCCTTCTCTAGAAAGCCCTTCCTGGCTCTGGAGAAGAGTAGAAGCTCCTGCTCCTAAGATTCTGCTGCATTCGTACTTTACTTCCACTACTACCCTAATCACCTTGCAATCACCCTGTTTATTTGTCAGATTGAGCATCTTGCCTTGAACTCCTTTAAGAAGGAATGCTTGGAGCTATACCTGCCTAAACAGGAGCCCAATAAATATTTATTGGCTAAATGAATGATTATTAAATAAATTGTGAAAAATACTTGAATAGTATTTAGAGATAACTATAATATTGAGATAAGGTGGCCCAGATATACGGTAAAGGTGGTCAACAGTTCTGCTGGGTGTTAGCTGACTGACAACTGGCCTTCTCCTGAACTCCTACTAAAGCCAAAGGAAGACAGAGAAACTTCAGGGATTGCTAATGGTTAGAGTACTAGGTTTTTCTATTTTGTTTTATATAATAATTGGCTTAAAAATCATGATTCATAGAGGAACTGGCAACACAGTCTGAAACAAGGACGTAGAGAAGAAAGGTTAGGTGACAGTATATGAATAAACGTCAGTCAAGACATGATAACCATCAGTGAGGTTGGACCTCCACTCACCAGATACCACGCAATTTCCTTGTTAACAAACTCTTGGTGAAATATCTTAAGGAAAAGAATTGGGAGAAGATGTGAAATTCTAGAAGATTCCATCAAGAAAGCAAAGGAGAGAAGAAAGCAGAGAGGGAGGGAAAGAGGATTGGCCAAGGGTAGCAAAATGACTATTTGTTGACTGCCCAATATGTGCCAGGGATTTACTCTGTGATGCATCAGTCAGGTATTGTTGCTGCTCCTTATTGGAAGATAGGAATTGAGATGTCAGAAGTCTGATGCCAGAGAGTTAAGGGATCTCCGCCATCTTACCTTCAGTGAGCTCTTCCTTCTCCCTCCATTCTTCTCTCTTCATACTTTTTTCTGTGTTGCTGTCCTAAATTTATGAAAGAACTGCTCTCCTGACCATTTCCTTCAGATGGCTCCAATTTTCTCTAGTTGGAAAACTCCTATTTCCAAGCAGCTAACCATTTTCAGGGCTGGAAAGGATCTCAAAGGTGATGTATCCTACACTGTCCCCCATCCAGAGGCTTAATCTCCTGATTATTAATCCCTCTCATTTAGTCTCCACTCTAGCATCTAGAGGCTACCAGATGTGCCTCCAGCATCTCCAGTGGTTGTTGTCCTTGAGAAACAGAGTTTGTATTTAGCTCAGGTGCAATTTCTGACAAGTTTTCCTCTTATGAATGTGACTTTGTTTCACCATAATTTCATTAATTTATGAACTCACCCATTCGTTAATAAATAATTTTTGAAGCTCAGCGATAGAGCACTTGCTTAACATGTGTGAGGCCCAGGGTTCCATCCATAGCATTGCCAAAAAGGAAAAAAGGAGCACCTATTATATACCAGGCAATGTGCTCCCACCAAATCTCCTTGGTAGTAGGTGACTATACACATCAGAATAATCTTCTTTTTTTTTTTCCTGCTTGACAGCCCTTCAAGTCTTTGAAAGGTACTATCATGTCCCATCACATCCATCCCTCTCCCACTCAAACCCACATACACATGTCCCTGTTTTCCACTCATTGCTTGTGTGCTATCATTATCTTTTTGTTTCCTCTTCTAGAATTATGGCACTTGGAGAAGAGTCTAATACTCTCAGTGTAGAGTAAGGTCAGACCCTTATTACTTCATTTGTGTGTCTATTATTGCAGCTTACACACTCCTTTTTCTGGCAACCACCTCTCTTTCTCACTGAAACTTTTCCTATTGTTCTAGGTCTTTTAGACTTTCTGCTCCAGATGACTAATGTGATCCCTATGGTCCAGTTCTCTATGTAATTGTATTTTATTTTACATTGTGCTCTTGTTCTTATGTGATCATTTTGTTCTTCAGCTAGATTCTAAATTCCTGGGCAGATACTGTTTCCAATGTCTTTTCCTCATATTTATTATTTTTATCCTTTGAAATAACCTGATGAGGGCTAATATTTATCCCCATTTTACCAGTGAAAAACTTGGAACTCAAAAAGTTTAGTAATTTCCTGAAGCCACTCAGGGAGATAGGGACAGAAATCTTATCTCAATTCAAGTACTGACTCTGAATCTTAAATCTTTACAACTCACATTATCTGTCCTTCAACCTCCAGACATAGGACTGAGCACATAACGAGTGCTCAATAAACACTCATTGCTGTTTGGTTTGTTGATCAAAGTAGAAAAGAAAAGAATGAGAACAAGAGGACACAGTTTTTCATCCATCCATGGAATAGAGGTGGCCATAGTTGGTAAACTGGAAGACCCTTTTATACACATGCTCACTCTGGTCTGCCCCACTGTACAAATACTCCCTTTCTCCTTCCCTGTCCAAGATGACCAGCAGCCTTCTTGGGACACAGCCAGGGAGGAAGAGTCTCTTAGGCTGACCATGTTGGTTCCACACAAACCAAACAAGATAGTGGTGTTATTGGCTACACAACAAATTCTCTGGTGCAAGCAGCCAGCATAATTGTCAATAAGGCAGAGAACATTTGTCTATCTGAGAGTTTGGATAAATCTAGACTTATGGTGAAATAGAGAGGATAAATTTTGCCCAGGCTCATGGACTGCACTGCATAGTCCTTGCATTGAGATAAACATGTCTTCTTTTGTAACTTCCATACTTGGACCATGAACACAACAGAGACAACAATCATAAAGTGAACCACATTTGCCTCTATAGGGGTTGAAATGTCCAGTCATCCATGTTTTTCTGGACATCAACTTAAGTGAAACAAGTGTGTACATTAAAGGCAACAGAATACTTTTTTAGTGGTATCAACTTCTGCTAGGGCAAAACAATTAAGAAAGCTTGGGTTGTGCCCAGTGGCCTCTGACTTTAGAAATACAATCCTCCCTTTATGTTAGGCCCATAATGCTCCAACACATTTCCCTTTTTAGTTCATGTCTTTTCACCAAAGTTAGTCTTTGTTGAATCTACACTTACTTGGTCTGCAAATGCATTCCCCAGTGATAGATATGGAGCTGGGTATGTTGCAAAAATTTGCGCTGTTGCATTTTCTCCCACGATGAGCAATTTTCCACCAGCAAAGGACATAAGTCCATCTATGGAAGACAGAGCTCTGGCACATTAGTGTTCTCTAGGAGGGGTCAAGGGGAGCCTATGCCAGGCCTCGTGCTAAACAACAGCAGTCAAACACTCAGGAATCACCTATTCTCTTGACTTCACAGTATGTTAGTCTTAGAGATGCCTGGGGGGAATCCCAGGATGGTGGTCAAAGGTAGAAAGCCCTAGGTTGCGCTGATGGTCTACTCCAAAGTTGACCCAAATCCTTGGTCAGCGGGGTCCTGGAAACCAATACTCTTTGGGGGAAAATTCTTAGAATTTTCAAAATCAACCTAAAGCCAAAGTGGGGTTTGAACTTGCTCTAGGCAGAATTCTTAGTTCTTAGAGATATTCTCAGTAGTGCACTCCCGAACCTGAAGGTGTCGCATTGTAGTGAAGAGATGGGGGATGGCCATTGGAGCCTTAGAACAAGGGGGATGGCAGCCACTGACACAGCCAGCACTGACCCCAGGCCTCTCTTGCCATAGCAGCTGGCTCTCTGCATTCCTGGTCTGCTCTTACATTCCCCTTTAGTCCTCATAGGCTTTAATTCCCAGAGAAACACTTGGTGGGGGAATGCCCTTTTCTACGACCTATTTCCTTAAGCCTTGATTCATAATTCCAGTTCCTAAGGTCTTGTGTTTGATAATCACAATGGATGGAGGCTCACCTTGGATTAGATGGAAGTATTTTAGAAGTTGATTTCATGGAATCCCAATATTTCTTAGTTTGAAGGATTTTGAGAATCATTTAGTTCATTTTTCTCACTTTCCAGAAAAAGAAACTGAGGTCCATCAATCAGATGACTTGTTTAAGTCACACAGCTACTGATGGACAGTCAGAACTAAAGCCTGGTCTTTGATTACCAGTTCTCTGTTTTCCCCTGAGGTCTACTGCAGAATGGAACATGGGCTATTTGAGAGGAGGGAGTCAAGTCTCCCCCATCCAGCTTGTTTCTCTGCTGTGCTTTCTCCTTCAAAAACGTTTCCCAGACCCCATATCTAAACACTTACTTCTCAGAGTCTTTGCCATCATGGAGCTCCTCTTATCTCAGACAATTCAGAGAATGCAGAGGAGAAGCTGTTGGACTACTGTGTACAGGTTGCAGGTTTGAGTATAAAGATAGGTTTCTCTAAGTTCTGGGACACTTAAGATGTCACCATTTTCATTAAGAAGCTTCATAAATTCGCCCAAATGATGACTTTGGCCTCCCTATCTGAAATTTAGAATGTCCTATCAATTCTAGAGTGCTTCCTGTTCTCGCTTTATCGCACTTCTCCCCACCAGGAAATTTGGGCTTTCAGATGATGCCCAGCTCTTCATAACCTTTAAATGGAGGGATCCTACTCACCATAGTAAATGCCAAAAAGAGTTGCAGCTCCCACAAAGGCTCCCAAAAACTGGGCTCCCACATAAAACGGGAATTTAGACCATTTCATCCTTCCAAAGACACACATTGCGAAAGATACAGCTGGGTTAATGTGGCCACCTGCAAGGAAGAGAAGATGATTGGCATGTCAGAAAGCAAGCCTGGAGGGGAAATTTTATAAGAAAATCATGTCCAGAGACCTCAGGAAGAATTCAAACTTCTAGAAGAATTCAAACAAATGTATGTGTAGAGAAAGAGGTGTGTGTGTGTGTGTGTGTGTGTGTGTGTGAGTGTGTGTGTGTGTGTGTGCACGTGTAAGAGAGACACGGAAAGAGACAGGGAGTTTGGGAGAAAGGAAGAGAAGACTAACAATCCTCATGGTATCATTAGGAATGTTCATTTTCATGAAAAGGCAGTCAGAAATAGAAACCCTGTTTTCACATTCTTTATTTTTATGGGGTTTTATCTATTGGTAAAGCAATAACTCTAAATAGATTGATAAAAATATTAACATCAATATATGTCTTAAAGTCAATATACTTAACACAATATATGTATTTAAATTTATACCTAGCCCTTCCTCAGTCCATTCCCAGGGGCTATAAAACCAATCACAATGCAAAGCACTTAGCCCTGAAAAGTGCTCTAAGGGGAAGTGTCCCTAGGTTGATAGTTGTGACTCTCCTTGAGGTTTGGGACTTCCTTTATTTTTAGGTGATTATATTGCCTGGGTGGGTTTTCCTTTGTTTTTCTGCATAAACAATGCATTTCTCTCACACAGAAATGTTGCAATACTTATGTCACCTAACCCAAATTATAGTTGATGAAATCAGCTTCCTTGCTTTCATCTATTCACAAAATCAAATAGAAGGTTTGCTCTTGGAAGGTCACTAATGTTCCCCACTGGTTTTGCTAGGAACAATGGCATTTATTGAACATTTGCCAGATACTATCTTGGGGGTATTATGTGCATTGGAACCTCTTAAGAACCCAATGAGATGGGTACTATTCCAGTTAACAGGTGAGGAAACTGAAGCCCAGAAGTAAAGTAACCGTCTTAGGCTATGTGATCAGTAAATGGTAGAATCAGGATTCATATCCAGCTTTATCCAAACTTCAGAGCCAATGTTCTATGTTACACCACTCTAAGTTCCTCTTCACCATAGTTATAAAGTGGTGGTCGGAACAAAATAAAGAATTTTAATAATCATTTTTGAGCAAGTAGGCTCACTTTCCAGGAAAGAAAGAAGTTCTCCTGAGGAACACAGATAGCATTTTGTGTGGAGGAAAGATAGTCACTGTCAAGGTGACCGCATTGGAATGTGGACTTTCAGGTTGCAGATATAGGCGTAAACAAGAGAGATGATAACCACCATGGTGGTAACTAGGATGATGACGCTAGTCCTGCACTGTTTGGCTTTCCTCAGAAACATGGGAGGGCTGGCTGACTAACACCCTCCCACCACAGAGTCTGCCATGCTTCTCCTGAGTCTTCAAGACCAAGTGGGCTTGCAGGAGTATTCTGACTGTGGGCTCAACCACAGGGGTCCTTTCTCCACTTGGCCTCCGCAACTCAGGGACCCATATGGGCATGAAAATGCCAAGATATCAAAGCAAAGATTACCCGGAAACCTTACAAACACTTCAATGGTTGTGTTTTACTTTTAAATCCAAGGGAGCCACCATTCTGGAGATGACAGAGGACTACTTACTAGGAAGACAGGAAACATGGGCATGCAGGGCAGTCGCCAAAGCCAGCCCTACTCCTCTTCTCCCACAGGCTGTGTGGAGAGCAGCTGCCACTCAGCCAACCTGGAGGGACCCATTGAAAAAGGACAATGGGGTTCTATGAAATAACCTTGAACACCCCCCCCCCCCAAAAAAAAAATGCTTCCCTCCAGATCAATCCACCAATGGGAGACTTCTTGAATGAGGTCCTCTTCCAAACAAAATTCCCCATAGGTAGGTTCACACTTTTTAGCCCCTCACAGTCATCCTGAGGTTGGAACCATTATTCACCTTGAAACTCTCACAATGCAAGACACTTAGCAGGTATTTGAGATAAGATAGCAAGTATTCAATCAGAAGCATTAATTAGATAACTCAGACTACAAAGATCTCCAAAGAGGGAAAGTTGTCTGGGGGCTGGAGATGGTGTGTCTGGGTGGATACTTTACAAAGCAGTGAGGAAAAGGGTTCCAGAGGCGGTAGAAGGGTTCAGAAAGGGAGGGAACCAATGGCACCCTGCCCCCTTTGGCTGGGGTCCTAGTGGATAATTAAAATTTCTCCCTGCAGAGCTGAATGCTCACTCCTGGCTCATCACAAGGATGAGGCAGGGCAGTGTAGTGCAAAGAACATGAGCAGTAGAGTCAGAGAGTCCTGCAGTCATATACTGGCTCTGCCAAAGTTGTTGTGATGATCAGATTATTCATAAGGTGCCCAGGGGTGTGACTGGCACTCATGAAGCACAAAATGAAAGTCTTGGGTGAGCAGTGTGAACTTTCAAGTTTCTCTTTTAAGTTGATACCCTCACCCCATACCCTTAGTCAATTCTGTGAAAGAAATACCTGTATTTCATTTATCATTAAACTTGGCTATTTTGCCAATTTATCTTACTTATAAAATTATCTCAAAAATTGCCATCAGGCATCCTAAATACCTTGTGTGGGGTGCTACAACATTAGGGAGTTCTCAGTTCTGATTGGTTGGTTTTGATTGGCACGTCCATGAGGGGACCAGATGCTGTAACTTCTTTATAGAAAGAGGATATTTTGTATTTAAAAGCCAATGTCAGCTGGCCTCACCAATCTGTGACCATAAAATGGAATCACATTTATACTTATGTTCAGTATATGCTGGTTATTTTTGGAATCCTCAAAGAGGGCCTACATGTGGCCACAAACCAACATGTTAGCCACAGCCATCATGAGATAGTCACCTCCCACTTTTCTTTTCCTATTCTTGCAGCTGCTAAAGCCAATGCTGATGCTATTGTCTGTATGGATATCATGGTGTGTCCCTGATTCTGTTTGTCTCTAAGGCACCAGTCATCGGGGAACCTGAACCACGCTAGATTTCAAACAAAGATGGGGCTATAGGGGATATATTTTTCATCAGCCAGGCTCAGACCCTGCTCTAATTATATTTTGGGGTCTCAACTTCTCTCATAAACAATGTAGTCAGGTCCTGGGCCTCCCTTGAGAACAATCTTTAGTGAAAGCAGTACCATCAGTTCTGGCCCTCACCCTTCTACCCACAAAGCTTAACTCCAGTGCAGGGGCCAGAGAAGTTTCCATGCCATCCCCTCACTCTATCTACCTTCCTGTTGGTCCTTTCCCCTCCTATGGTGACTCCCATAGTCTCCAATTATAACAATAGATGCAGACAGATTAGTGCTTAATAGTGACAGTGAAGTGTATTGACTACATAGGCAGTGTCTGGGTCTAATACTACTACTTGAAAATGTGCAGTTCAGGGTATTATGCAAGCAAAATATTCCAACCCTTGTCCACCTAAAAGATTTCTGAAAATATGCCCACATCTAAATGGTTTTTAGAAATCATTTATGTGAATATACTGGGAGCTTGTGGGGAATAGAATAGAGCATGCTTATTTTAAGCTAAGAGTGTTTTTGTTGGTACCAAGACCTGCACTCTAATCCAGCCTAGATAATTCAATGAAGTCCCATGATTGTTCTTGTGCCCCACTTAAAGTTTGCTTTGAGGTAGGTATTATGGTTCTGGGATCACAGCAAAAGCTCAACAGGAGCTCGAATGAAGACACTGCGCATGACAAAAAAAAAAAATCACACACACAGGAAGCTATCACTGGACACCCCAGGATCTAAGCCTGGCTATAACATGGAAATAGTGCCTGCTAATAAATGACCATTTCAGGGACCTTGTCCCAGGAGCTCCAGGAGTCTAGACAATCATTCATTCTTCAGCACTCCAATGGCAGCATTTTTTTACAAGGTCAGCCAGCATAACCGCAGGGTCCTCTGTCAGGCTCCTTTTGCTCATTTTAGACCATTGAAAATGTTATGTAAGAATATGAACTTCACTATCACCTGTACCTGGATCACATCTTTGTTCTGTCTTTGCCCCTATAGGCTGTCTAGCATATTATTGAATTTCTCTGAGCCTCAATTTTCTCTCTAGGGTGAAGACAATAATACCCAACTCCATGTGTAGTTGTAAAAGAGAAAGGAGATTAGGAAGGCTTGGCACCCAGCACAGTGCTCAGTATGCAGTGATTTCTCAGTTCCCTTTCTTCTCTTATCACCAGGAGTCTTGCCTCTTTGCCTAGTACCCACACCAGGCTGCAGAAAGATAGAGTACCTTCCAGATTCGCTTCTTAAGTTCTCAACTGAGTTAAATATCATTCTTTCATTTTGCTTCTCAGAACCTCCCAAATGGTTTCTAATCAGCCTACCTCTTAGGGCAGAATTAGATGAAGATTTGCACCATCCATTTTGCAAAAGACCTAGACTCTCTGATTGCTTTTGATAAAGGTTCAGGGATTTGCCTCTGTTGGTGTGATCTTAATGGAGCTATTCATAGGTTTCTAAGTATAGGATAGAGCAAATAAAAGACACTTGCTGCTGAAGAATATGATGCAGTAACCAGACTTAGGAGTGAATCAGTTGTGAATCCTGACTCTGTCTCTTGTTAAATGTTGTCTTTGCATAAGTCATTCAACATTTATTGGCCATTTTATCACCTACAAAAATGGGATTAAATACACATTCTTATAGGATTGTTGAAATAAAAATAAACTAAGATATGTGAAGCACCCACCACTGTGCTGGTACACTGGAATGGTTGATCTAATGGTGTCTTTCATTATTTCTACTGCTTACCAGAGACGCCCCCGGTTACATAAATGGCCATTACAACTGCCATTGCAAATCCAACATTGGTAGTGACGACTCCTCCAAAATGTCCTCTACTGAGGATAGCTTGGGCAACAGAGCCACATCCAAGAACCTGAAAGAAGAAGAGAGGAAGATTAATCAGTAAATGGGGATGGCCATGGTCAAAAGCAACTGAAACTCATAGTAACAAGACTTTTGTCAGCAAACTCATGGGCTGCCTCAGGCTTCATCCAAATCAAATCAATGTTCCAGCTACTATGCACAAATAGCAAAATGATGGCTCCAGCCTGCATCTAGCTTACAGATAGATTTTTCTGGTATGTGCAATGTGAAAGTTTTGCCTGCATTTAGAAATCAGGCAATTTCACACAATGATCTAGGTTTCAGTCTTTTTAAAATTGAATTTTTATTTTGAGAAGATTTTAGATTCACATGAGATTGTAAGAAAGAAAAGAGAAACATCACATGTACCTCTGTGGGGAGCCACTTCAAATGCATGCACCTTTAAGTCCTGATGCACCCTGGGGATCTGAGAGATCCTGTGGTAGTGTCATGACTCGTGACGCAGTCTTTTCCCTCGATGGGATAACAAGGCTAACAAGGCCTAGGAGTAGGCGGCACCCATAGTGGTTGAAGTACACTCACCTGTTCCCTTGTAATCCTATCCCTTGCCTCATTTGAATGGCTTCTTCCCAGTAAAAGGGTTCAGCACAGTACTTCTCTCTCTTTCCATAGACCCCTAAGGCTGGAGGAGCCATCACAGGAACCAAAGAAAAAGGTATTTCTCTGTCTCTGTGTGGTTATTTCGTGCATTCCGGTTCACCTGGAGTGACCTTGAGTGTTTAGTTGTGGAACGTGACATATCTCTTAACCTTTGGTTTCTTTTAATTAATCAGAAGATCCAGTAGCTCCTGGGAAAATAATCTTCTGGAGCAGAGTAACTATTGGTTGCTCCCTTTAAATAGAACTTGGACCTTCCTAACTGGCTCACCCCATCTCAATTTACTTCACTTCACTCATTTAGGTGGGCTTCCTGGCCCTTGTAGGTATTTGAGTTTGAGACCCCTGCTCTAGTGGCTCCCATTATAAGCTGGATCAGGCACACAATCTTATACGCATCAATACATGGGATGGGCATTTGTAGGATGAATTAGAAAGACTAATATGCAGGCAAACTGTAGGGGATAGATTTTTTTTTAATATTTATTTTTTAGTTGTAATTGAACACAATATCTTTTATTTATTTATTTATTTCATTTATTTATTTATGTTTATGTGGTGCTGAGGTTTGAACCCAGGGCCTCGCATGTGCGAGGCGAGCGCTATACCGCTGAGCCACAAAAACCAGCCCAGGGGATAGATTTTGTAACTAGGCCCTCCTTATCTCTATGTCTTTTCCCCTAATGAGTCTACAGTGTCCTGGAGAGCTGAGGCTGCCAAACTCACTGCATCTTCTATTCACTATGGAATCAACACAGTGCTGTGCTCACAGCAAGCTCTCTGCAAACGGCTGAACAATGAAGTATGGCAGAGAGTCTTCCACAATCTTCAGCTGGTAGAACATATTTTGGAGAATGGAATCAGTATTCATTAAAGTTTGAAATATTTACCTTTGATACATCCATTCAGCAGACTATGAGACAGCCATAAAAGAGAGTGAGGAAGAGCTGAATGAACCACAATGCAAAGATCCCAAGGGTATATTATTAAAGCTTCTTCTTCTTTGTTTTTTTCTTTTAGAAGATGCTGCTAATTGTATTAAAATACATGGTATGCATTCATTTTTATAAAAAATGGACTCTCCATGAATACACAAACACCAGGAATGGGGTTGGATGTCATTGGTGAGGTGAAGGAGAATTATATGGTTGTGTACTGAAAGAACACTTTTCATTGTACACCCCTCTTTTTTTAACCACATATTTCCTAATATTTTAAAAAATGGGTTCTGCACATTCATTAGATAATTGGCTAAGGCTGTTTAATCATAGTTCATTAAAGAAACAGTGAAGGAGGGTTCTTGTGAAACATGGGATGATTGCATATAAGTTTGATAATGAAAAAAATGATAGCAAATGGCCATCAGCTGTCATCACATTGCAGTGTATAAAGCTTCATGGTCCTGGAGATAAAAGTTTTGGTCTGTAGGAATAATTAGATGAGTTATTTTTATATGTCAAGTTGACCAAACTTTTTCTAAAATATGAAAAATATTTAAGTTTGGACTTCATAACCAAAGAAAAATTGCAGTAGTCTCCATTTTCTGCTTAAAACTGTGCATAATACCAAACTAGATAAATAGATACACACACATATATACATATGATATATATTCATGTATATATGAATTTTTTTCTATACATGCATAGCTACTATAATTTTGATCTTAAATTTCCCCCAAATACCCATGTATTAAATGTTTAATTTCCAGGATAGTGCTGTTGTGAAGTTGCAAAACTAAAAGATGGGGTCTGGTAAGAGGTCTTAGGTCATTGGGGGAATTGCAAGATCTTAGACCCTTCCTCTCTTTGCTCCTTGGCCATGAGGTGAGTGGTTTTCTTCTACCACGTGCCCCCATTGTGATGTTCTACTTTGCTACAGGCCCAAAACAATGATGTCAATTGATCATGAACTGAAACCTACAAAACTGTGACCCTAAATAAACATTATCCCCTTTATAAATTGATTTATCTCCGGTATTTATTTTATTCACAGAAAATCAACTAACATAATACTTATGATAAAATTTAATTTATAAATTTGGCATAGTAAAAGATTCACAACAATAACTAATAATACAATTATAATATTTTAACAGTATACTTATAACAAAAGCTATATGAGAGTAGCCTCTCTCTCTCTCTCTCTCTCTCTCTCTCTCTATATATATATATATATATATATGTAATATATATATTAGTACATATATATATAATAGTGCAGTAATATATATAATATATATATATATATATTACTGCACTATTCTTACCCTTCTTCTGTTGTTTACAAGTAGCAAACTGTGGAAAGCCAAACTGTGGATAAAGGGAGACAATTGTAACTTGAAGGAGGGTTCAATATCAAGCAAGAAGTAGAAGACATTAGGTAAAGTTTCATAAACAAATGTATTTTAGGAAAAACAAGATTAAGAATGTGAAGACTGCTTATCAGGCAAATAATAACCAGGTATGGTGTCTCTTCACCAAGGGATGAAAACAGAAGAGTCTCAAAGTGAAGTATGAAAAGTTGTACACAATTTTCTGATAGACATTAATTGATTCTAAATCATTCTCATGGGGGCTCATTTGTGAGGTCCTTCACAGCAACGGAATTTATAAACAGATATTAAGAGATATTTAATACACATAGCATGATTTCCATTTACTCCTCTAGGAAAGCAGAGGATAGATGGCACATAGATGATCTTTGGATGTCTGGTGTGTTCCAGTGCTAAGCCACATCCACCTTGTATGTCTAACTGCAGGCAGTAGGGAGAGGGAGGAGAGCTTGGCCTCAGAGAGAAGCCTTTGTTCTGCACCTTACACGCACATTGCAGACTCAGACTTCACTCAGTCTTGGCTCCACACCCTGGTACTGAACATTAGATGAAGTTGCAGCAGCAACATGTTGTCATTCCCTTTGCAAAAAATCCCGAGTCCATTTCATAGCCTACCAATTTCACATAGATCTGACACATTTTTTCCCTATAATCCCTATCTATTATAACAACTGTCAGAATTAAACCCAGATTGGCTTTTCATTTAAAGCCAATTAAATGTTCTGGGCACAACTTCCAAACTGACTAGCATTTTAATAGTATTTACAGAAAAGAGGAATAAAACAGTACTGACAGCTGAGATGACCCGTCTAGACAACCAGGGCTGAGAGGAGACACACCCAGAGCCGTCACTGCTTTCCAAATGAGCGCCTTCCCTTTTTCATGGCTCTGAGGCACACGTACTTGTGCTAGTCTAGAGGGAATATAAAAGCTTTAAATAGCTCAAGTGGACCTGGGAGGACCTCTGCCTGTTAAATTTCACTATGATTAATGTTCTCCTCTTTCACCCTACATGATGAAATTGCTTTTTCTAGAGAAGATAATCAATGTTGTGGGCTGAAGGAAAGGAACAGGAGTAGAGATGAACAACGTGGGGGCTTCAGTTATCCTCATGAGAATAACCACTCAGAAGATTGCAGCCTAGATTTGCAGCATTGGGTCTTAATTTTAAAATATATTTATTGTAGATTGAAAAGCAACAGAGAAGATAGGTACTGCCTAAAAGGTACTTGCCTGCTTCCTGTATTTCTATGCTTGTATTCCTGGCACCATGCAAAAAGATCTTGGATATTCTAGTGTATCATGGTCTGATTGTGGAGAAATGGCTGCCCATTCTGTTTGTCTTCTTTTGTGTGTTCAGTGTATTTTTTCCCCTCCAAAATTGAAAAAAAATTATCCTGCATGGTATTGCGGATAAAATTTTTCAACATGCTTTTCTGCTCTAACTTTAAGAATTACCACAGCTTTATACTTCATAAGCTTCATATAGAAAGAGACTGTTAGCAGTCTGTCCTGTCTATTTTTCAGGTCTATCCTTCAGGAAAGCTTATCAGCCATTCATATTCTTTTCACCAAATATGACCTCTCCTTTCTGAAATTCAATTACACTTTTTACTCTATGTAGTCAGTACCTAGTTTTTTTCAAAGTGCCTTATCTGGTTTCCTAGCTAGAAAACAGTAATTAAAGTTTCCTTCTATACCAACAGTCAATAATATGCTAGTAGTCCCTGTTCATTGGGTCTTGTTTCCTGAGTCTACAAAACAACTCTTCCTATCACATAGACCCCAAAGGTCTCTTCTACCTTCCTGACCTTCTTAATCTAGTTGCCTTCTCCAAGAGTTTGAAGAACCTCAAAACCATGCATAAAATGGTGAACATGACCAAGACACAGATCTAGTTTTCACGGTGTCCCCAAAACTCCTCACCCATCTTTTACTCATATTATCCAAATAGACTCATCAAGACTTCTCTTTTCTCATCAACCCAACCTACCTAATTGCCTTTCTGCAAATAGAGCCACCTTCTACCTGACTCAGCATATACTAATGGATTTGAA